ACGCAAGTCTGAGGGTCCATGTTACATTGTAATAGCAGCGTGTTCGCTCATCACATTGCAGAAGAGTTAAACTTCTGCCAGGCTCCCTAAAGCTCACACAACCGGATCCCGATCGAAACCTTGTTTATTCACATGCTACAGGCGTCCAAAAGTTACCAAATTAATTACCCTATGAAGGAATGCATTTTTCATGTTCCTAATCCATTAATGAATTTGAAGCACTTATCCCCTGGCTCCAGCGCGCCTTGCCCACAAATTTCGCCTGTGCAACCTCATCTTGTTGGTAATTTGCTCACCTTCTCTTTATTTTTTCGCAACTCTGGGGGCTTTGAGGCATTGTGTCATCTTTCACTGCTATCACACCCTCTTCCTGACTGGGTATATTCGCAGACTTGTCTCCTTTAGTGCTAAGGATGGCTCGATTCTGACAGCAAAGCTCATTGATGATGCCGACGTAACGTCTGGGGAATGTGCCAAGTCAGTGGCCAGAGCTTGGAAGAGCTCATGAAAACTATAGCACTGAGATCATTATTTGAGGCTTATCTGATACCACTACGAAGTGGCCGGACAACGAAGTCAGTCCTGTTATTCCTAACTCCCAATTTCCCTCTTCTGAATTAGTCCACCTCAGTTTACATTTATCCTACTAGCCTTAGACACTCGCCTGCGGTATCCGCGGTTAAATGTGCCACTTGTCGGAGCTGTTGCAGCTGGGCCAATACAACTAGACATATGCGATGCGCCAAAAGCCCGATCAGCCGGCACAACCAAATGCGGATCTCCATCACCATGCTGGGCGGGATAGCAACTAACGGTGTTGTAGCCGCCCCGCCCACTCTACTGCCAATAGAGCCAGGAGAGGCAGAACAGTTGCCAGTGCTAGTCGGAGCCAGTGAAATCTGTCGCAGCTGTCGCCCGGCCTCCTCCATGAGTCGCGGCATCCAGACGAGTCCAACCAGACCGGCAGCCTCATTTTCGCTTGTCATCACCAGCCGACTCCTCTGAATGCCCTGTGTAGTGGCAGCCATCAACCAGATCGTGTAGGCAGTCAGTACAATTCGGTGAAGCCAATCTGCCTGCGCCGATGCACCTGCTCCAACCGGGGCACCAAATGCGCAAGCGACCTGAGAAGTAATTTTTTTGGGCATTTATTGAAAGTATGAAAATAATAATGGAATGTAGCAATAGCAGATAGACTTAATGGTAAATATCTTATCATGTAAAATACTGGAACATTTAAAAAGACAATCATTGTGGGAATAGTGGAAGAAATGAGTGGAAATAACTGAGCTAAGCATTCTCTGTGTCTCACTCAGACTTTCATCATACAAGAGTGAGTGAGGAAAAGCCGATTTTGGGACAAAGAGACTCAGATCCTGACTTTTTATAGCTGGTACTTTTGCCAAAGGAAACGAAAGCCTGGCTAGGGCCATATCCATAGATCCGAACCTTCATTGAGAAGGGCGAAATGATCTTACTTTATAATGCAGTTCAATCAGGATGAGAGCGGTTTCATGGAAAACATGAGGAGATATAAGTTAGCGGCAAAATAAAGACTTATATGAACTTCTTAGAGGCTAGCATCACTATCACTGCTTATAACATCGCAGAACGAACCACGCTTTGTACAACAAATTTAATAAGTGGACACTTCGGAGTATGCTCATCAATAAATAAATGTAAACAGTACTTTTCTGGAGTGCTACAGCTGTTACCACAATAGCACGATGCAGCTACAATTTGCGACTTAT